GAGCCCTATAATTTCTGCGTGCTCGCCGGTATGATAACACATGCGTAATAGATTATAAACACCGGCTTTGTTGGGAGTGGCTGGCGAATCGGTGAACAGATGCACACGTACGCACGTGGCAAAGCCACACGCGCAGATGTGTCCGTGCGAACCTTTGAAATTCGTTCGACCTTACCACACGGCGGTGTTCATTGTCAAACAATAAAAAAGCATAGATTATTACGATTACCATTATGATATTTGCCCGTATTTAAGCAAGACGCACTATCGTTGATGGACGGGTGGGTGAAGCGGTGCTTGCGATCGGCCGGGCGTCATCCGCCACTGACGTTAGCCGTGCCGGGGAATCGAATAAATAAATAACTAAAGGGAACGCTTTGAAATTTGACAAAATGAAAAATATATATACACAAGTGAACGCTGAGGTTAACAAATTGGAATTGGATTTTGGAGGCGTGCGCATTAGTGAGATGGATTGTGGTGGCATCACAGGACTGTGACGGATGGCGAAGGCGCAGGGAGGGGCTTCATCGAGCAGTGGATAGACGATGATGATAGTGGTGGCACCAGAATCAAGCATGCCCGGCTGCGTCTGTCTACTCGGCGCTTATGTTGATCACAAGACACTCGGTACTCATTTTAGGCCGAGCCAACCTCGAAGAGACTCGAGGCATGTTACGTCTCAAGGCAGCCCATTGTTGTGTCTCTGTATCCGGGAATCGAACCCAGGGGAGCATATTGTAGGGACTACGCTGCCATCACACGCGCAAGGATAAAACAGAAATCCCTGGTGTGTCTTCATAACATTTGTGGCAAGTGCCACCAGCAACTGCAAACGTCTGATAAAGCAGGTAACACACACGATGGGGGAGGTGTGGCAAAAAAAAAACATGCTGGGCAAGACTTTCTCTTCCCAGTGCTATTGTTATACTGCTCTACACTCCACATTAGATACTCATTGAAGTCTGAGTCGACCTAGAGGAGTCCCCTAGCCAGGTTCAGTTACCACTTGGCACCGATATTAGCCACGACCGGGTATCCAGCTCTGGTGACAGACATCTCGGGGGCAGTCATTGGGATTGCAAGGACAGATATTACCTGCTGGGGCGAACACTGTCAGCAAGCACCTGTTAAGGTAGATGTTTGTGATGTGGTGAACTTCACGCCCCAGGCGGGCGCCTTTTCCTTTCTCAGCTGTGGCGATGCTTGGGATCAGATATCACTCACCACATCGTGGGACCTCCCTTGCCAGTATCAAAATACAATACTAGGTGTTACCCTTTCTGGCAATAAAACAAGGTGTTAAAATGTCAAAACAGCAAACAGAGACCTATTGACGATTCCTTGCTGAAGGTTTCTGTTTGGTGATTATGCATCTTAACAACTGTTTTGTTGCCAGAGAGGATCAAACCTATGCTTATATCACTCACCACTGTTGGCGACCGTGGCCTGAAATCACACGCAGGTGGTCGGTATCGTAGTGTAATGCATGGACCACTGACACAAATAACAAAGAAGGCCCCATGTAGCCCGCAACGGCTGTTGGGGCGTCTGTCGATAGCGAGCACCACCTGTGAAGGTCGCCACGGCACGCGAGTCGATTCGGTGGTCAGGAGCACGCCTCGCCCGCCTTTTTATTTCCCCAGTGTCGGTGTTTACACACTGCACCAGGTACACAGTTAAGGTGGAGATCGCCTAGGGGAGGTCCAGAACCGGCTCAAATATTCGCCACTGTTATTGGGTGAGCGGCAGGAATATACCTCGGCTCCTCCAGGTTCTTACAGCGCAGTGAGCTAAGCACTATGAAAAAAAATAAGAAATAGCTTTACTCCTTTCTGGAAATAGAACAGGAGGTGTTAAGATGTTTAAACACCAAATAGACAACACCTATTGCAAGGCATCAAACCTGCATTTACCACGCAGGCTTGTGGTGAACATGCAAACAAAAATGCTCGGATAATATAAACATTGTCTTTGCAACTGATTGGCCTCCACCATAGAGAGTCTTCTTCAAACTCGAAGCCTTGCAATAGGTATCTATATGGTTATTCGAACATCTTAACAACTGTTTTATTGCCAGAAGGGGTAAAGCCTATTATTCTATTTTCATCATCTTGATACTGGCAAAAATGTCGCATAGACGCTAACCACTACACGACCGCTCCACAGATCACACAGACACACATGATACTCGTTTGTAGTTCCCTACTGTGCTTTTGGCTCTGATCCAAAAATCAAGATTTCTGCGAGCGAAACAGATTACGGGAGCTGCTCCATTTTAGCAAAGAGAGCCCCTAAGCCCAGATCACGGCACAGACGGACTCCTCCCCACACCATCCACCCCTTCACCCCCACCCCGACGGCAACCCAACCCCCCACATCACCACCAAGCCTTTATATTCCCACGGAGAGATCTCGTATCATCATCGCCGCACCTGTCGAGTTGGGATCCTGCCCGACCCGCATCTTCTCTTCGCCCGCACCTGCCCTGCCAGATGCACGCCTCCCCCACCCCCCCCACCCGCGCATGATCAACTTCACCAACTTAAATACTCTCACGATCTGCCTCTCCTGCTCTTCTCTTGAACACGTAATAATAACAATAATGCATTTCAACTTGTAACGCGCTACGCAGTATTCGCTCACTCTCGATGTGAGAGAGAGAGGGAAAATAACGACTCGGGGGGCGAGAAGAGGAGCAACAGACAAGCCGGTAGGGGAGCATCCAGCTGGTGAGCCGGGCACTACCAACGATTGCCCGAGTTCTGCCCGTCCCTTATATAGTAAGGTGCTTTCAGCCAATGCATGAGTGTATAACACGCGGGAAGGAAACCCGAGCACCCGGAGATAAATGCCACGCATGGCGAGGAGTTGGGGGGGGGGGGGGGGGGGGGAGGCGGTGTCCAGACTCTCATATATACAGACGGGATGGGTGAAGAGAGGAGTCGGCACTTTGCTGTGCCGCCGTCTCGTGGCGAGCCTCGACGGCGCACACGGGGAGGACGCTTGGCAACATCTGAGCGGTGATCCGCCAACCCCTCGCTGCTTCTGCAGTACCGGATTAGAGGCCGCGTGCGTAGCAACCGCCGCTCCCTCCTCCTCCTCCCTCTCATCCTGTGAAGTGTCTTCTTCACGGGCACTTTGACTTTGGCCGGCGTCTCCTTCGCCGCCTAGCCCTGTATCGTTTGTATCACTCATTGCCAGCGCTCCAGATTTTGTTTTATATACATATCCAGTACATCCAAATTATTCCACCTCATATTATCTCGAGGAGGCGAGCGTCCATCTAGCTGTGGAGCGTATTCAGAAACGGTGGCGCTTACGCCACGTTCCAAACCCATCATAGTAACGATCAACGTAAAACATCTGTGCAGAATGCGAGGTTGCACGGATGATTGCATCGCTCCAAAAAAAAACCCGTGAATGCGGTAATTACAGCGAAGCGCCCCAATCGGATGCGCGCATCAAAGCGAGCGTCCCCGTGTTAACAAACTCGCGTGGGTTGTGCTGTACAACAATAAGCAGCGATGGCAGAGAATTTACTCCGAACAGAGTTCCGTGTCGTGCGCGCCACGATCTTCAGTTATCCACGAATGCCGCTGAAAACCATATGCTTAATTGTGCGCGTGTAAGGCACCCCCTCATGTGCCCTGCCGGCCTTCATTAGTCGCTCGCTAACGGCACTTGCCCCATCCGTCTGTTAAAGGCTCTACGAGGTGGGTGGGTGAGTGGCTGGGTGAGTGGCTGGGTGGATGGGTGAGTGAGTGGGTGGGTAGATGGGTGGATGGGTGGATGGGTGGGTGGGTGGATGGGTGGATGGGTGGGTGGGTGAGTGGCTGGGTGAGTGGCTGGGTGAGTGGCTGGGTGGATGGCTGGGTGGATGGGTGAGTGGCTAGGTGGATGGGTGAGTGGCTGGGTGGATGGGTGAGTGGGTAGATGGGTGAGTGGGTGGGTGGGTGGATGGGTGAGTGGGTGGGTAGATGGGTGAGTGGGTGGATGGGTGAGTGGGTGGGTGGGTGAATGGGTGGGGTGGGGTGGGAGATGTTCGTATTTGCGTTGTGTATACAGTACGTATGATCGCTGCCGTCGTAATCACAGAGATCGCTAAGGAATCGATGCGCGTGCAGTTTGCACTAAATTTTTGACGCAAGCTGTCAACTTATACAGTCGTTGAAAAAGTCTACAGCTCGACTACCACTGCCCATGTGAAACTAACGCGCACGTTAAATGTGTTATATTCTGCACTGCGCAATCTCATGACACACACGAACAGCTCCGTACAACCGGTTACTCCAGATTATCGCGTCTATGGCGAACAGAAGCTGCTGCCGTTGCTGCTGATTAAGTTCATAGCGTACATAAGTCTACACAAGGCTATTACATTACACGCTGTGGCACTGCATACAGTATTCACGATACACCGTCATATATGTTCGCGTCTTGAGATGCAGGCGTATTTAAACGCTGTATAAAAAGCAAATTGCACCGTGCTGTGTTATTGTCCAATGGTTTGCTGGACAGGAAACGGTAACCGAATTTGCTCGCGTCTGTCGGCTTTAGCGGCACCCTCCACTGGAGGCGACTTGTTGGGGTTCGATGACATACTTGTATTGAGCACGACGCTTATTGCAGGCATGTAGAACATTACTCCCGTTATTCAGTTTTAGCGATGTACCTCGTGAATCAACGACTCGGCTATGCATGCACAATTGTAACCAGATGTAATACTCTCGAGAACAACAGCACTCCAATTCACTTGCTGACGATTGACCGCGTCGTACGGCGGCAATTACATCTGCCACTGTCAATTTACGTAAACCGCAAACACCACCCGTGCAATAATACAAAAATCCCCCGTATAGCCTGATACAGACTTTTGGGGCAATTGCCGTGAGCGTGCACCTCACGCAACAATACAAACACACGCCTCTCTATCTCTCTCACACACACACGCAGGCCGTTACTCGCCGTCCGTCCACTTCATACCACCACCCACCTACCTGATGATATCGTCCGTGTGGCCGAGAAAGAATTTCTGCCGGTGGTCGCGAGTGTTGTACACCACCCCGACACCGGCCACAAAGTACACGAGCTCCCGCGCCGCCGTGTAGTAGAGGTTGTTGCGGCATTGGTGGCCGCGGTACCCGTAAACCCACTCCAGGCGGAGCTGACCGAGCGGCGGGGTTCTGTCAGACATCGCCCGGCCGAGCGAAGACTCCCTCGCCGCCTCCTCCTCGTCGTCTTCTCGCTTTGGCGACCCCTCACCCCCCCCCCCCCCCCCCCCCCCCCGCTCTCAAGTCTGTCCGTCCGTCGCTCTTCGCTTGCTGCCGCTGCTCAGGGATGATGATACCGTCGCAACCGCTGTTTCTCTCCACCCAAGCCGGCACGCCGCTGCCAACAGCTATCCCGTCTTTAGCAAAACCTCGCCATTATGGCTCCAGCTACAAGCGTAAAGCGAGAGAGAGATGCACTGAGACACAACGAGAGGGACGGTTGGCAGTGTGCATTTGGTGGGGGAGGGTTACGCGTCGGCCGGGGTTGTGCGGCCCGCGGTCGGAGCGGCGTGCGAATGGGGCCCCCGCCGCCTCTGGCCGCCTTTTCAGATTCAGCACCACGGACAGCGGGCACTCCGCGCGTCACGTGACCGGCGCGCGCTTGATGATGTGGTCGTGGTGTGCGCGTGTAGTGGATGGGGATGGGAATAGGAATCGAGGGGAGGGGTAGGGTGGGGCACCTTGAGAGGAGAAGGGGGACTCCGGACGGACGACGGCCGAGAGAGCAAGCGACGGCTTAAATTTCTGAGTTTGGTGCACGGTGTGACGATTCGCGCTCGGCCGATTGCGCCGGATCAACAATTATCCGATCGAGTGTCAACGTTTGGGGTTGCGCTTCAATATTAAAATAATTGTAATCGAATGTTTACGAATTCTATTACCTGTGAACTATACTATGCAATTATGTTACGTGTGGGTCAATGGTCGAAGGAAAGAATGAAAACGAGGCAAACACAATCGATTCATATAATCAAGAATTAATCAAGCATCGAGATGTAATTTATGGTGATTATATCCTTCAAAGCCTACAGCTGAAATTTGGAGGAGAGGGGGATGCAGTCGAGTGTTTACGAGACAAATCCCACAACCAAAATGTTCAATCAATTTCACCCGTAATTATTTTTTTTCTAAAAAAAAAACTAAAAATACTATGCTGCATATTTGGACAGCAGAGCGCAGTGCACGCAAATCTTACGTTGTACTCTACTTCGGTGCTCCTTCCCTCTATGCTGCCCGCCATCACCAACCAACCCATATTGACAAGCCGCGTGGTTTTAAGTACTCTGGTCAAATAACCCCCCACCCCCACGACCCGCGCGGTGTGGTGTAGGGTAGGAAGCCATCTAGCAGTGGATTGTTAAAACGGCTGTACGCGTAAGTTTTGTAAATTAGTATTTATAAGGAGTGCTGGTAAAGTTTTTTTAAAACTCTGAGACAGCGGTTGCTTTTATGCCTCCAAATTAGGGGGCATGGGCAAAACAAAAAAAACACATGTTCTACATGATCAACTTAAGCTTATATCTGGAGGTCCTTAAATGTATGTGCATCCCCTGATGATGAAATTTTCGCCGACCCAATCTTTCTGGAACTTTCCGGAACAGTGTGAAGCTGAAACCAATGGAGAAGCAAAACCCGAAGACTGGTGTAGTACAGTATTCTATTGATACCATACACAATGCCATGAATGCGTTTATTGTTGAGAATGTAGGGCCCTATATACAAGGCTTGAAACTTTGGGACGTTCCAGCCGACAGGACCTTATATAAGGCTTCCTACCACTGTGCTTAAACTGGCCATGAAATAAGCCAATAAATTGAACCGCCAATAAAAAAGATATGTTCGTACTGCTATAACAACATTCCTGAATTGTGCCCCTTTAAAAAAGATTTATATTCAACGAAACTGCTCCCCGGTAAAAAAAAAAAACGTCGCTGGTCCGTTGAGCCTAAATTCCTCCCCGACTTGGCAAGTTTCTTATCCACCTCTGGTTACAAGTATAGTACTTACCCTATTATCAATTTGCTCATAAACCGAGTGAAGTACGTACTGTGTAGTACTGTAGTAGTGGCGAGTTGTACCGGAGCGCGTAACGGGATTCCTGAGTAATTCAGAACTTAATTAGGAACATGCAAATGAGCAAAGGCATCGTTACAGTCAATCAGTCAAATTTCCCGGCGCCGCGCCTGCTTACCGCCTTAATCATGCATAATCTATGGGGTGCTGCACAATCATTCATATTAACACAGTTAATCTATTCGAGAAAGGTTAGAGTTGCATAATGTAGGAGGAAGCAATGCGTTCCGTGGCATGCCCTTTCTCTCTCTCTCCTTTCCTCCATCTGTTTATTGCTAAGCCAGCTAAGAGTTCACTAAAATTACGGGGCAATCTCATATTTCCACCCCCAGCGTGCGTTTAGGTCTGTCTGATTTTTTTTTTAAACAAACGAAATGGCTAGCGAGTGAACAGGACTGCAACGTAGCCCGTTCTCTCCACACGAACGCCTTTCAGGGTCGGGGCTTAGGATGCGGCGTGGATAACGTGCACGAGATAATTTCCAATGTGCACACTTTTCGACGACAAACACGCCCTCGTACACATTAGTACACCAAATATTTGGCGATGCTGCTGCTACTGGGTTGGAGGTGGTGCACAAGGATAGACGACAGATAACTCCCTTTCGTCACTCACACCGGATGGCCTTCAAAAGGAAATATATAACGGGCGATGTTTCGGGCAACGACTGTAGGCGTGGACATGTGATCTAGGGTGGGGGGGGGGCGGTGGTTGGGGCGGGGGGGTAGGGACGGGAGGAGGGGCAAAAACCCCAACCAGGGTCGCAGAGCCACTGCTGCAATGATTGTGCTCTGGCGAATCAATTAAATGATAGCTCAACGAAGTGGCTTATCACATGGAAATGTATAGCAGCCGGATACTCTAAGCGCATGTTTCTAAATGTGGAGGGTAAAACCCCGAGGGCACGGACAAAAATCAACGCGACCACGGGGAGAGAGAGAGAGAGAGAGACACGCAAACTCCAAATATACAGCGGGCGTCGTCAGAATCGCGATCGAACCCACGACCTCCTGCATACCAGGCGAGGTAGTTAACATCTCGCCAACAGGCCGTGGGGCAGGAGGCCTTGGTCCAGAGATGGCCTGACCGAGGGCTTTAATTCGTTTTCTTCATTATCACCGATTTTACTTTCTGCACGGTGGCACTAAACCCAACCCCCCCCCCCCCATGATGAATAACGGGGATGCACCCTGGAGAGGGCGACCTTTAGCAAAAGCGATGGACGTGGCGGTTGAGACTCCATCCCAATCCGTCTTGCCGACGCAGCTCGATACGGCAGCGTTCCCTTCGCTTTCAAAACACGCCGCGTGTTCTCTGTCACAGCCTGCAGGATGCGAGGGACGACTTGGGCCCGTGCTCTTCACTCATTTTCAGAGGCGAGAGGCGGGGAGGGGGGGGGGCACTTTCGTCGATAAGACATCGTCAGAGTGAGGGCCACCGCCACCACCACCACCTGCAAAGGGGAGGGGGGTTGTTACTCGTTGTGTACTGTCGGGGGGCCGCATGTCAGGTGCCGCGCTAAAGGCCTCCAGGGGCCGCCAGGGCTCGCGCGGGGCCTTGCAATGAACAACGCCCATGGAGCCAAAAGCAACCAGAATCGCAGCGGCAGTTTTCGGTGCGTCATACCGACCATGCTTCACCACGCTGGGCCGTGCAGGTTGAAGTGAGGGCGGTTCTCACCTCTCGCCAACTTCTGTGGGTGTCCCTAACACCGTGGCCTTAAAAGGAAAACAAATATATAAAAGGCAACGTTTCGGGCAATGGTCCTTAGTCACGCACGAGTATCCGCATGAATACGGGCCAGCGCTCGAAATGTTATCTCGTTTATTTTCCTTAAGGCCACACGTGGTCAATGATGTGTTGGGTTATTTGTGCCAACGAGCAGCAGCGTCGCCAACATAACTTTGCTTACGGCCTCCTCAGGTCTACGAAGTCTCGCAAGTTTGTTCGTCGCCTCCGATGAAACGCGGTTGGCTACGTACGGTGCGAAAGAAGTTCAACGTACAAACTCAACTGAACTATATATTTTTTACGTCACCAGGTAAGGACCGGTGAGCTATTTTTTTTAGAAGGGACCTGGCGACAAATGATAGCTCAACAAAGTAGCGTATCACGTGGCCAATGTCTACAGCAGCCAAATGCTCGTAGCGCGTGAAGTTGATTCGCAATACTCTTTGGGTCTTTCGGTCGAGTCACGTAAATAAAAAATAATAGATCACGACGTTTCGATCGCAACAGACGCAATCGTCTTCAGGTGAATCGTCTTCAGGTATTCACGAAAGCTTTAAATCAAGATTTGATTCGAAATGTGGAGGTAAGTTCCGTGAAGGAAGGGCCTCCAACATAAGTCGCCAGTAGCCTGGGGTAGTGACTGTGTGCGTAACCAAGGACGGTCAAACAACCCCCCCCCCCACCCATGTGATTGACGCGGCGTGGAAGATGCCTACTTTATACAGGTATCAGATCATTTAAAAGTATTTAAAGCTCGTTGAAGATTGATCGGCGTGAAATAATTTATAATTTGTTAACAAAGGCATACGAAAAAAGCATTTTCTCCCACGAATGAGGGGCGTTCAAATATAAAATAGGATTTGCCAAATGCAGTCATGTCTCTTCTTTTTCGACTTGTGCTGACACGGCACGCAACCTTGCTAACACATCTCGCGAGACATGACGCGAGACATGACGCGAGACATGACGCGGCGAATAGACACGCAGCGCAAACACAGGCAAAGATCCCCCGTATAGCCTTAACTGACTGTTGGGGCAAGTGCTGTTAGCGAGTACCTATGACGGCGGGCACGGTACCACGAGGGGGTGGATGGCCAACACCACGCCCGGCCGCCTTTGTCTCCCTAGTGGTGATGTTTACACACCACATCATGTACTCATTTGAGGCTGAGTCCACCTAGGGGAGGCCCAGTAACGGTTCAGACAATCGTCACTGGGTGTTGGCTGTAAGCGGGAATCGAACCCGGGTCGCCAGGTTCGTAGCGCAGCGCGCTAACCGCTACACCACCGCTCCCCACACGCAGGGCACACACACGGACACCTCATGGATCCTACTTATGTGAAATTGATTTCTGTCATTCGTACACTCGTAGTTTGGTTTCTCTCAATGTGCCCATATTTGAATACATGTAAATAAATCAGCCCATTGCGTCCACTGCTCTACGTGGTACTCGAGAAGTAGTTAGATGTATGTATGTTGAACCTCTTTCACACCGTACATAGCCAACTGTGCTCATCGGAGGTGCGGGTGGAGGAACAAACTCAACACAAAAAGCAGTTGTAAAGAAATTAGTCTTCAATCTAGAGTACGGGTGAATGAACGGGAGATTGGAAGAACGTGTGATTGTGCGGTTGGCTGGTTGGATGAGTAATCTGGTTAAGGGATGATCCAAGTGGATACATGGAGGGGTGGGTTATAGTGTAAATACCTGTGAAATTGTGAGTACGTGAAGAAGATGGCGTGTATGAAATTGGGTGAATGTATGAGTATGTGAATGAGTGAATGTATGAATGATTTGAATGTTTGAGTGGATAAG